TGTTCCTTTTCTGGTTTTAGAATCAGGGTAATGCTTGATTCCAGGAATGACTTGGGAATATTGCTTTCCTTTTGATTTCATTAAAGAGTTTGAGGAGTGTTAGTGTTACATCTTCTTTAAAGTTCTTGTAGAATTTGGCAGTGAATCCATTAGGACCTAGATTTGTCTTAGTTGGCAGTTTGCTAATTACTTCTTCACCTGGGTGTGGTGGTGCCTGTACAGAGTGCCTATAATCTCAGGCACTCTGCAGGCTGAGGCAGGAGAATTGCTATAAATTTGAGGTCAGTATAGGCTACATGATGTGTTCAAGGCCAGCCTAAACTGCATAGTGAGACCCTGTCCCAAAAAGTAAAAATTCTACTTAATCACTTCATCAATTTCATGGCCTTATATTGGATTATTTAGGATTTCTATACCTTCTTGATTCAGCTTTGTTTGTTCATATATATATCTAGCAATCTATCCATTTCTCCTGAATTTTCCACTTTACTAGAGTACAGATTCTCAAAATAATTACCAATGATCTTCTGGATTTCAGCAAAATCCATTGTGATTTCACTTCCCCTTTTTCATTTCTAATTATTTAAATTTGGGTTCTTTGGTTTTGGTGGAGGGTTTTTTTGTTCCTTTGATTTGGGTTTTGTTTTGTTTTGTCTTTGGTCTTTTTGGACAGGGTCTTGCTATGCAATTCAGGTTGGCCTTGAACTCACTTTGTAGTCCAGGTTGGTTTTAAATTTGCAAGGATCTTCCTGTTGCAGCCTCCCAAATGCTGGGATTACAGGCATGCAACACTGCACCCAACTAGGATTGTTTTTGTTTGTTTGTTTTTGTTTTGAGACAAGGTTGTTTATCTGGTAGGTCCTTCTAAAAATGACTTCCCAAATGAACATTACTGAGTTTTGGATTGCTCACTTCTAGAAATGGATTCCAGGTTCTTCTCTCAAACAAAGAATTGAATAAAAGAGCAAAATGCATTGACAAAGTTTAACTGAAAAAAATTTAAAGAGTGGTTGGTGTGGTGATGCAAGCCTGTAGTACTGCACTCAGGAGGCTGAGACAGTAGGATCACTGCAAGTTGATGGCCATCCTGGGCTAAATAGTGACTGCAACGCTAGCCTGAACTACATAGTGAGACTGTCTCAAAAAAAAAGAAAGAAGTAAAAATGAAGGGTGAAGGAGAACCTGGCTCTACAGAGCAAGATTGAGCCAAATAAAGAGGCAAAAGCAAAATAACAGTATACTGTGGAGAAAGCAGGTCAGGCTATCGTGGGGAAGCCACAATAGCAAGCTCTTGGTGTTTGTGTCCTTTAATGTCCAAATGTTGAGGAGATCCTTGAGAACTTCTACACCCAGGTCCTAAAAGGCTGTTCTGAGATTCCTACAGTTTAGGCTGATGTCAGGTCTAGGACATCCTATTGAAAACCCGCTCAAATTTTTCAAGAAACCTTCAAGCTGGGATTTGAGAACTCTACTGAGCATGCGTCCAGGATCTTGTAATTAATAGGTTGAATCTACTTCCCCAGTCAGCTTTGCCACCCCCTAATATCATATATTAGGGTCTCACTATGTAGCCCTGGCTGGCCTCAATCTTGTAGTGATCTTCCTGCCTCAGCCTCAAGAGTGCCAGGATTACAGGTGTGCCTCACTATGCCTGGCTTGGGTTTGGGTCTCTTCTTTCCTTATTTTGATAAGATTGGCTAGATATTTGTTTGTTCTTTCAATGAACAAACTCATCTATTCATTGATTCTTTGTATTTTTGCTTTTGCAGTCTCAATTTCATTAATTTGTGCTGTGATCTTTATAATTTCCTTCCTAATTCATCATTAGGTTATTTGTTTAAGCTTGCTCTATTTTTCTGATGTGGGCATTCACCACTACAAACTTCCATGCTAAGATTGCTTTCATTTTGTCCCATAGATGCCAGCATGTCATACTGGCATTATTGATTATAGGAACTGTATAATTTCTTCCTTTATTTCAGCTATGATCCATTGATTACTCAAGAGAATATTGCTAACCAAATATAGTGGTGCATTCCAGCACTTGAGAAGCTGAGGCAGAAGGATTACTGAGTTTGAAGTCCATCTAGGCTAAATAATGACTTCAAGGTTAGTATATATATACCGAGACCCCATTCCCCTGCACACACAAAAAAGGACAGTGTATTGTTTAATTTCCATATGTTTGTAGATGGAAATTCTGTGGTGTCTTTTGCCATTGATTTCTAGTTCCTATGATTTCTAGTTCCATTGATTTCTAGTTCCTATCACTATGATGTGATAATATGCATGGGACAATTTTAATTCTTTTGCATTTACTTAATCACACTTTGTGGGTTAGCTTGTAATCTAATTTGGAGAAAGTCCCATGTGCTGCTGTAAGGTATTGTTATGGCTTCTGTTCAGGATGGCCCCACCCCAAGCTTCATATGAGCAATCAAGGACTCGACCAAATGTAGCATTTGTGATTGGCTTATTGGCTAAAGCTTGGATTGGTGGTATGAATGCTACTGCTGACCAAGAGTGGAGCCAGCATACAGACTAAGGGTGGGAAGGTGTGTGTCTCTTTCTTCTTTGCTGTTCCTGCTTGCTGTTTGCAGTGCCCATGAACAATGGCCCTGCCATGCTACCCTGCCACTTGGAATCAACTGAGTATGGACTGAAACCTCCAGAACTGTAAGAACAAGCCTTCCCTTGCTCCACTTTGGGGGTCAGGTATTTTGTCTCAATGAGAGAGAAAAGTAATTAAGACAGATATGTGTATTCTTTGTCCTTGGATGGAACATATCTAAATATCTAGTAAGTTCATTCATGTGACATTTTGGTTCAATTCTGATATTTCTTTTTCCTTTTCTTTTCTTTTTGGTATTGGAAATCAAACTCAGGATCTTGTGCTTGCCTGGCAGATGCTGAGCTGCTGAGCTATATCCCTGGTCCTCTGATATTCTTTGTCTATTTGATCTATTTGTAACAGTGGGGTACTGAGGTCCCCCATTATACTTATATTGGTATTTAAATTTTTCTTTTTTTTTTTTTTTTTTGTCTTTTTCCTTTTTGTCGGTACCAGGGATAGAACTCACGACTGCCTGCTTGCAAGGTAGGCACTTATGCCGCTGAGCTAAACCTCCAGCCCCCTATATTTAAATTTTTCATGCCCATATGTTTTTGTTTTTTGAAGTTAGGCACAATGGTACTTGATGCATATCTTTATAAGTGTGATATCTTCCTGTTGAATTGTTCCCTTAAACAATATGTAGTGTGACCTTTTTTTCACTTGATCAGGCTTGGCTTAAAATCCACTTTGTCTGAAATTAAGATAGCTGCTACTGCTTTTTTTTTCTGGGTTCTTGTTGCATGGAATATTGTTTTCCATCTTTTGATTTTTTTTTTTTTTTGAGACACTTCTCTCCAAGTCCACCTGGTCTTTAAGGTTTGTTTTGAGAGATCTACTGCAATTCTAATAGGTTTGCCTTTATATGTGATTTGTTGCCTTTCTCTAACAGTTTTTAAGATTTTGTTCCTGTGACTGACTTTTCATAATTTGACTATAAAATAGATCAAAGAAGTGCTCTTTTGGTCATGACAATTGGCATTCTCTTTGCCTCAATTATCTGTATGTTTTTTCCCTATATTTGAGAATTTTCTCCCACTGTATCTGTGATCAGATATTTTGCCATTTGTGTAGTTTTCTGATTTTGTCAATACAGTTACTTAAATTAGTCTTCTTTGCATCATCTAGCAGCTGTTAGACCCATCTTTCATGTTGTCTTGTTGCTTTTAAGATTTCTGAATAGTTGCTCTTTGAAGGAATCATTGTCTTCTAGTTCTAAAATTCTGTCCTTATACTGATCACTTCTGCTAGTGTATTTTCAATATAATTTTTTTGTTTTTTGAGGCACGGTATTGCCATGTATTTCAGACCAGCCTTGAATTCACTATGTAGCACAAGCTGATCTCAAACTCACAGCAATTGTGCTGCCTCAGCCTCCCAAGCGCTGACATTAAAGGCTGAGCATTTAGCTCAGTGGCAAAGAGCCTGCCTTGCAAGCACAAGGTCCTGAGTTCAATTCCTGATACTTAAGAAAAATATTATCAAGTGCTGAGATTAAAGGTATGTGCCACCATGCCCAGCCATCTCCTGAATTTCTAACTGAAACCTTTTCATGGACTCTAATTCTTTGCAAAACTGATCATTCATGTTTTATCTTGTTTCACTCACTTAGCTTTTTATTAGTGTATTCTCAAAGCTCTTGGATCATTTTGGTTGTTACTCCTACTTTCTGTTTAGTTATATCTTCTTTGATACCACTGATTACTTCTTTGATTGGTTTCTTAACCACCTCTGTTATCTTTTTGAGTAATTTGGATGTGTGGCTTTTGCTATTCTCCCCTTCAAAGCCCCCTAATGGGCCTTGGGAAGATGGAAGTTTTAGAAGACATCCTGTTGGCTTGCTTGCTTGCTTTCTCTTTCTTTCCTCGACAGGGTCACACTATGTAATTCAGGCTGGCCTTGAACTCACTGTGCTCAGGATGGCCTCAAGCTCCTGGTAATCTTCTTCACTCAACCTCTGAGTGTTAGAATCACAAATATGCACCACCACATCTGGCTTTGTGGTTGTTTTGTTTTGTGCTGAAGTTTGTGGATGCTTATAGTGTAAAGACTTTGTTACTAGTATAGAGATCTTTTTATTAGTTGCTTTTCAGTGACATACTTTGAGTATAGCTAAATATAATCCTTTGCCTCAGCACCAAGATCTGGCTACCTCAGTTAAGTTGGGAGGAGAGGACCTAGCATAACAGGCCTGACACTGGGTTTCCTAGAAATATACTTTAGTATTATTAATATCACAAAGGTAATGTGAGTGTTGGCTTAGAAAGAAAAACCCATTAATAACAACAATTATGTGACCCTAGTAGTATCAAACAAATCAGCTACACTGTTATCACCTGTCTTAGTGACTTTTCTCTCGTTGCTGGGACAAAACACCCAACACTCAAAATGAAGGAAGGAAAGGTTTATTTCTTATCATTCTTGGAGGTTTCAGTCCATACTCAGTTGGCTCCAAGCATCAGGGTGGCATGGTGGATCGCTATTCATGGCTGGCTACAAACAGCAAGCATTAACAGGGGAGAGAGGGAGACACACCTTCCTGATCTTGGCTCCACCCCTAGGCGATGTAGCACTCACACCACCAGCGGAGCGCTAGACAATGAACCAATCACAAACGCATAATTGCATGAGGTTTGGGGGCCACTGACATAAACATCACCCAAGGCAAACTAAATATTAACATAAGGCAACCCAGGCCAAGCATGGTGTCACACACCTGTAATTCAAGCACTTGAAAGGCTGAGGCAGAAGGATCACCCTGAGTTTGAGGTCATCCTGGGCTACATAGTGAGTTCAAGCTCAGCCTGAGCTACATAGGGAGACACTGTCTCAAAAACCCAACAAACACAAGAGTCAATTCAGGTATTGACTTATAGCTAATCTATACTAAATACAACAGCCACCTCCCCACTACTGGTAGAAAAATTCAACACTAATTTTATAGAGCTAACTATCTAAATAAAGATTTATGATTTATTCAAGGTATTGTTAAAGCTTTATGGTTATACTGTTGAATGAATGCAAAAACAGAACTTTGAAACCTTGTATGATATGAGAAAGAAGTGGGACAAAGGAGCCTGTTGCGAAGTAGAGGGATGTTTATAGAATTAGGTAAAGGTGGGGCGCTTTTTTTTTTTTTGCAATTGGGGATCCAACTCATGACCTTGCGCTTGCCAGGCAGGCATTTGTGCTGCTGAGCTAAATCCCTGGCCCAGAATTAGGTAAAGGTAACAAAAAAACAAAACAAAACAAAAAAAAACAACTGATGAGAAATAGAAGATAAAACAATAGTTAAGTTAATTTCAAGATTCAAAACATTACAATCCACTCCTGTCTATGGTTAAGTCACATCTGTGAAAAGGAATACTCATCAGTTATACATTTAAGATTTTAGAGAATAAAAAACAAATGCATTCAAAATAAAAATGAATTCAATAAATATTTTATTGAAGAGAATGAGACGAAGATGACTAGAAAAATGAATTTATCCATATTCTTTTTGTGTGTGTTTTTGAGCCAGTGTCTTGTATGCAGTTCAGGCTGGCTTTGAGCTCACTTTGTAGCCCAGGCTGGTCTTGAACTCACAATGATCCTCTTGCCTCAGCCTCCCAAGTGCTGAGATTAGAGGCTTGCACCACTGTGCCTGGCTTATATTCATTCCATTCAATATTTACTGTGCACATATTACACATTAGGCACTCTGATCAGTATCAAAGATGGAAAATGTAAGAATGTACAGGTAAGGGCTGAGGATTTCGCGCAGTGGCATAAGTGCCTGCCTGGCAAGTACAAGGTCGTGAGTTTGATCACCCGTACTAAGAAAAAACAAAGAGATAGAGAATGAAGAAATAAAAGGAAGAATGTAACAAAGAAACAACCACAAAGAAAGTAGAAACCACATTCACACTCATATAGAAACAAAGACCAAACAATGAAGGAAGAGAGAGAGAGGTCCGCTTCCAGGTTTGTCTCTGGTGTCACTGGTAAATCACATGTGGAGACAGAGTCCAGATCTGTGTTGATTTAACCCAGCACATTAACAGTAGCTTGTGGTAGGGTACTGGATAATCCCTGTGAGCCTGCACCTTTATTTACCCTGAAGTTCAGGCTGCTTTCTGGCTCAGAGGCTGAGTCTGAGACCAGAGCCATTCAGCCTGCAGCAGTCAGCACACCTTCGGAGGGCTTGAATTCAACTGGGAGCCACTAGATGGACCCAGATGTTGTTCTGAACTCTGACCCCAGGAGACCTCTCTCCAAATCAGCTCTCAACCAATTGCTGTCTCCTGCAGGACAACCAAGCCCTCAGCATTCACCCGCCTTAGTGAAGTCCTTCAAGTCCACTGTGCCCCTTCACTGCTGTATCTCTCTGTGGAAGGTTCTGGGGCCACTAACAGTCACTGTGTGTCCACAGGTTTGAACCGCTCTCTCACAAAGTGAGTCCCATCTCAGTGAGAAGGCGCTACAGGCTACCTCCTTCTTCTTTGTTGAAATTTCTCTCTTCACTCTCTCTGGGCTTCATTTCTCACATCAGATCCTTCCTGAGTCCAAGAGACTCACTTCCATCCTTTTTATCTTCTTTGTATTGCCATATTCCAGTATTCGGATGGCAACTCTTTGAGAGGTTGTTTCTCTGCTGCTTACCACTCCACCATCTTCCAGAAGTCAAGACTGGATTCATTAAATCTGAAGAAACAAAAAAATACATGCATTTGAGTTTTAAAAAAAATTTTTTTCAGACATCTGGACATCTATATGCTAGAACCTCTAAACATATGAAAGGATACTTACATTTCTAAAGGCAAAGAAAAAAAGACATGATTGTCTAACAGGGAAGATTAATCCCCAATAAATTATCTTACAAAAATATCAAACTTCTTTTCCCATTTTTCTACTACTAGCAAATGTGGAAAGAAAATTCCCATTGAAAAAATTCTGTAGGCTGATATAGTAAATTAAGGTCATTATTTGTACATATTAAGTAAGTCCTATAAATGGATATTTTTTCAATCAGACTTTATTGGTGCATTTTAGTTATACATAGAGATCACAGTGATTTAGTACAGGGGTTTAGCTCAGTGGTTCAGGTGCTTGCCTGGTGAGCACCAGGTCATGAGTTTGATCCCTGGTACCAAAAACAAAAAAACAAAGCAAAACATAACGATCATATTGTAGAGGATTTGTATCTGTACATGATATAACTTAATCCTTTTGTTCTCCCACTTCTCTACCCTCCCTTCAATCCCACCTGGCTTCCCCATTTATAAAATTCCATTTCCATGTTCTCCTTCTTTTCTCATTTTTTTTTAACTTTTCCCTTCTTTTCCTTTTCCCCTCCTCTCTTTCTTGTTCCCCTCCCCAATTTGAACATTGTCTTCCTATTTCACAATACTTGGGCTGGGGATTTAGCTCAGCGGCATAAGTACCTGCTTTGCAAGCAGGCAGTTGTGAGTCTGATCCCCGGAACTGATACAAATAAATAAATAAATAAATAAAAATAAAAAATAGCAAACTATTTCACAATACTTATTATACATTTTGGTCCTTCTTTACACTTTCAGATTCTCACATGAGAGAAATCATACAATATTTTAAGCATATGTGTCTAATTTATTTCATTTAAGAGTATAGACAGCTAGGCATGGTGGCACATACCTGTAATCCCACCCTTTGGGAGGCTGAGGTAGGAAGATTGCTGTGAATATGAGGCCAGCTCAGGTTACAAAGTGAGTTCAAGTCAAGCCTGAACTGCAGAGTGAGAATCTGTCTTTAAAAAAAAAAAAAAAAAAGTATGAAATCGAGGTGCACCCATTTAGAAATGTCTTGAGCTTCTTTTCTTCTCCTTTTCCTTCTCCTTCTCCTCCTTCTCCTTCTCGTGTCTTTTTGAGATAGGGTCAGGCTATGTAGTTCATGTTGGCCTTGAACTCACTATGTAGCCCAGGTTGGTCTCAAACTTGCAACAATCCTCCTGCTTTAGCCTCTCGAGTGCTGGGATTACAAACAGCTTGCCCAGCTTTGGCATATCCTTCCTTATGGCAGGGTAGTACTCCATTATATTAAAAAATTACATCTTCTTTATCCATTTACCAGTTGATGGGCATTTGGGTTGTTTCCAATATTTGGCTATTACAAACTGTGTGGCTATAAACATGGCTATGCATATATCACTGTGGCATGATGCTCTTCATTCTTTTAGGAAAATATCCAGGAGGGGAATGGCTTAGTCAAATGAAACCTCTAGTTGTAGGTTTTTGAGGAATCTCCACACTGATATCCACAGTGGTTGCACCAGGCTACACTCCCACCAACAGTGGAGAAGTGTTCCTTTTTCCCACAGCTCTGCCAGTACGTTTGTTTGTTTGTTTGTTTGTTTGTTTGTTTGTTTGGTGGTATCAGGGATCTAACTCACAACCTTGTGCTTGCCAGGCAGGTGCTTATGCCACTGAGCTAAATCCCCAGCCCAGCATTTGTTATGGGTTGATTTCTTGATAATAGCCATTCTTTCACTTTGAGGTTTTGTTTGTTTTTGTCCAAGTTTGTGATTTCCAAGAGTGTCAGGTATTTTGTTTCAACAAGAAGAGAAAACTAACCATGATACTGGGGATATAGTTCAGTGGTAGAGTTTTTGTCTTGCATTTACAAAGCCCTGAATTCAATCCCCAGCACCACACACACACACACAAACACACACAATGGTAAAGTTTTATCACAAATAGTAGCACACATACCATCGAGACCACACATGCCCAATGACTAATACTGCTGTGCCCTAAGAAGTTTTACCTTACACAAACCCTCAAGCTTGTCTTGAATCAAACTGCAAGAAAAGAGCAAAGATAATGCCTGTCTACTGTAGCCACTTGTTCAGGCATTGTGAACAAAATGTAGAAATGATAAAGCTTCCAGACATAAAGATTACCCAACGTGGGATAAAACTGAACACTCCACCCAATACCTAATGCAGAGTGCATAGTCAGTGTACTTGTGAAAGATACTCAAGTGAACACATGGGACAGAACTCTGGCTTCTGTCGGGTTTATTCTTGTTGTTTTATGTAGACTAATCCTGATGGAGATTTAATAAAATAATTGATACATTAAGTTCTTTTATTCTAATAACCAAGTGTAAGAAAAACTACTGAAGGGTATAGGAGTTTTTGTATCTTCCTACACTTTTAAAGTGAATTTGATTTTCACTGCAATATGATATTTTAATTAACAATATGCTAAAAACAAAATTGTCAGAATTATGGTTTGGGTCCCTGTTCAATTCTCTTATTACAAAGTGAATCCAGTAAACATCTTCCATTTCTAAAAGCCTGAGAGATGAATTCAACCTTTCTTTAGTTAGTTACAGTTCACTGGGCTGATGACATCAATGGTAACCTTGTAAACTGAAACTGAACATCTGAAACTCTAAAACACTAACACTTAGCTGGGCCTGGTGGTACACACCTGTAATCCCAGTACTCAGGAAGCTGAGGCAAGACTGTTGTGAGTTCAAAACCAGCCTGGGTACAAAGTGAGCTCAAGGTCAGCCTAAACTGCATAGTGAGACCCTGTCTCAAAAACACAAAAGAATAAAAAAACACACATTTAATCCAGGATAGAAAAATGACCATCGAAAGTAAAGAGAACCACAAGACCGATCACTAAAATGAAAAACCAGTTCTCTGTTATTTGAGCTAATAGTTACTCAGAGCATAAAGTTTCCACCTTCATTCATTATGATTGATGGCTCCGAGTCACAGTTTCGATGTAAAATGTGACAGGAGATCCAGAATTAACTGCAGACAACTGATTAGTCATTTCTTTTCCATTCACAAAAACTACACATAAACTGTTAAAGAGTCATTTACCTGTAAACAGTAATGCTAGTAAGAGAACTGAAACAGCTTCTAGGTTACTGATAACACAGTCAATTTCCTAAATCCGAGTAAGAAAACGTTTCAGAATGCCAATGATATAGATACTTAAGTTTTTTTGTTGTTGTTGTTGTTGTTACTGGGTCTTACCATATAGTCCAGGCTGACCTTGAATTTGTAATCCTCCTGCCTCAGCCTCCCAGAGAAATTGCAAGCATCTGGCTCCCTGAATTTTAAAAATCTGCTTTCCTGCCAAACTTAGTGATGCATAGCTATAATTATAGTGCTCAGGAAGCTGAGGCAAGAAGATAACAAGTTCAAGGCCAGCCTGGACTATACAATAAAATCCCATTTCAGAAACAAAGCAAAACAAAATTTTTTTTCTTTTTTTCATCATTTTGAGACAGTCTCACTATGCAATTTTGGCTTGCCTTGGGCTCACTTTGTAGGCCAGGCTGGTCTCGAACTTGCAATGATCCTTCTGCCTTAGCCTCTCTAGTACTAGGATTACAGGGGTGTGCCACCATGCCCGGCTTCAAAAACTTCTTTATAATTCACTTGTATCTATGCTTCACATATCCGTCCCCTTTTGGGATAATATGAATTCCAAGGGGCATGGCCTACTATTTCATATGTAAACACTAATAAAATAAGGAAAACAAAAATTGAAATAGTTAAAAGTACCTTCCACCACCACTCATTTGCAGTAATTAGAACTTGAACTCAGAATTCTGACTGGTTTTTTTGTTGCTTTATTGTTTGCATGGTACTGAGGGTTGAACTCAGGGCCTGGGCATTGAACTACAACCCTGACCCTTACTAAATTGTCCAGGCTGGGCTAGAACTTGCAATGCTCCTACCTCAGATTCCCAGAGTGCTGAAGTTACAGATATGTGCCACTGTACCTGGCTTTATGACTATTATTATTCTGTCCTTTCACAACAGCATGCTACCATTCATGATTTCCAATATTCTCCCTTTTTTCCATGAGAATTACTAAATGACTCAATAAAAACTCATCTACGATTTCCTAAGTGTCAGGTTCTGGTTTCATTATGGCCCACACTGCAATGATATAAACAGCCTGTCTCCTTACAGAGCTCGCAGAAAGGGGAACGCAAGTTACAACAGCGTTGCTTTATCCTCTGTTCTGCATCTTGTGTCCTTCACGGAATCCAATTATATAATTTTATCTGCTATTTTCCTCTCTTCTCCTTGAGTTAAAAGCCCTCTTGATGACAACAGGGAGTCTCTTGCCAAATACATTCTTATCATTCTTGTGAAATTCAGAGGGTACAAATGACTTCCCAGCCAGAAGGAGTTAGTGAAGTGCAGGGTCAGAAATGAATAGCGTCTACCTGAGACACTAAAGGACCAAGCTGACAGCAGCCGGCAGGGGAAGAGAACTTTGGAAAGGCAGCCTGACACCAGATCACAGATTGCTCAAAGGCCAGGCCAAAACATGCACTCTGGTCACCAGGCAGTAAAAACCAATTGCAATTTATTGACTCTGACTGATAAGATAAAAAATTGTTATTTCAAGATTGGGCAGGCAGTGATGGTTCAGAAGGGCTGAAATGAAAAGATTTGAAGGTCAGAAGCTCAACAAAAACCCACTGAAACTCTATGTTCAACACACTGGAAATGAAGGCTGGTTCCAGCCTTTGAGCTGCTTGCAGCAAGCAATTCTAATGTACAACAGAAATGTAGTATAGTGGATCCTGTGACGCTGGCATCAGGCAAGCAAAAACCTGGGAGAAAAAGTAGGGGAAAGGGGGTGTCCAATTTAGTATGAACAGGAAGGCAGAAGGCCAGGGAAAGCCAGGTGTGGTGCCACAGGCCTATAATCTCAGCACACCAGAAGGCTGAAACAAGAGGATTGTAAATTTGAGCGCACCCTTGGTAATTTAGCAACCAAGACACTGTGTCGAAATCAAAAATCAAAAGGCTAGGAATGTAGCTCAGTGCAAAGACCCTGGATTCAATCCTCAATACCAAAAATAAATCAAAAAGGGCAAGAAGGGTACCTGTAAGTAGAATCTAGCTGGTAAGCACTGGCTCAAGCCCCACCTGCTGAAATAGCTAGGCAGAAAGGAAATGAGAATTCTACAAGGTAATGGATTGGAACAGCCTCCTGGTTACAAACCAAATGGTTCATGAGGGAATAAAAGGAATGTTGTCTCAACAGTGATCACACCAGAGGGCAAAGTTATGCAGTCAGCCAAATCAGTGTGCTTCTAGGATTACCTGTAACCTCCAGCTGTAAAGCAAAAATATATCAGCATGTAGAAAACTAATCTAGTGACAGAAGAAAATCCCGGGTATTTTAATGTTTCAGCTCTTGTTTTGGTAACTGGTTATGAGTGAGCATGCTTGAAGCAGGCACACACGTGTAATCCCAGCCCTCTGGGGCTGAGATGGAGGTTGGTGAGTTTGAAGACAGCCTGGGTTACGTACTTGGTTCAAGAGCAGCCTGAACAATATAGTGAGACCCTGTCTACAACAATAAGTAAAAAGAAACTCCAAAAACTACAGATGGAAGAAGGAGGAAAAAAGTAGAGGCCAGATATGGTGGTATACAAATGCAATCCCACCACTTGGGAGGAAGAAGCAGGAGGGTCACCAGGAGTACCAGGCCAGCCAGAACTACCTACAGAGAGCTCCTATCTCAGTTTTTATTTGTTGTTGTTTTTAAAATAAAAGAAGAGGAAGGAAGGAAGGAAGGAAGGAAGGAAGGAAGGAAGGAAGGAAAGAACAAAGAAAACTAGGATAGTTCAGACTCAAAACAAAGAGGGGTATTTAGGCCCCAGGAAAAAAAATTTCCCAACCTATCTGACCACCAGGGATCTGGCTTAAGTGATACCTATTAGACTCTGGGCTACTTTCACATACGGTATTTCCATTTTATCTCTGGACCCAAACATATCCAGCTAAACTCAGATTAGCCCAGGGAGAAAGTGGGCTAGCTCTGTAATACTGAAGCACTGGAAGAATGGAAGGTTTGAGTTGGACTGAGATAAAAGAGGGAGGAGAGCTGGCTACAGCCCAGAAGGCAGCCAGAAAGGGAAGAGGGAGGTGAGGAAAGGACAAGGAATGCAAGAAATGTCTAAAAGGATTTCTTTAGTGACTTGAAAAGTCAGAAAATGAGTTCCATCTCTAGCCGACCTTCTTTTCCACAGATAAAAGAATTAAATTGCTAAAAATCAAACCTGAAAAGTGAAAACTCTGCCATTAAAAAATTAAAAGGCCTCAGCTGGGCGCAGTGCTGAATGCTTGTAATCCCAGCATGCAAGAGCCTGAACGTTCAAGGCCAACCTTGGCTATGCAGTGAGTTCAAAACCAGCCTGAATTCACTCAAAAAAATAAACACTGGGGGAAGGTGTGGTGGCAGGCACCTGTAATCCCAGCACTCAGAAGGCTGCGGCAGGAGCACTGTGAGTTCAAAGTCAGCCTGGGTTACATAGGAGTTCAAGTCCAGCGTAAACTACATAGCAAGACCCTGTGTCCCCCCCCCGCCAAAAATAAGTAAGACTTCAAGAGCCATATATCAAACTACACACCATACTAAAAGGGATATATATACAATTATGTAGTATTGGATTTAGTTTCAGTAACCATTTGCTCTTTTCTTCTTCTTCCTCCTCCTTTTCCTCTTCCAACTCTTCCTCCACCTCTCCCCTTCTTGTTCTTCTTCCTCCTCTATGCTGGGGAGCAAACCTAGGGCCTGATGTATGCTAAGCAAATGTTTTTCCACTGAGCTACATCGTCAGTCTTTTTTTTTTTTTTTGCTTAACATCTTGTTAATCCAGTGTGGAGTCAGAGAACAACAATGATGAAAACAAGACCCTGTTTTGTCTTGGCACAGCAGGGGCTCCTCATGCCCCTAATCCATAGGAATGGGTGCGGTCCTCAGTTTCCTCACCTAAAGGCCCATGATTTGCATTTTCCTTTCCTCAGCCCAGTGTCTGAAGTATGTGAGGTTGGGCCTGAGCTATGGATCCAGACCAGTACGGCATGTGTGCTGCAGTGGGCAGGCAGAGCCCTCTGTCAGAACGTGAACTGTGTTATGAGTTGCTTTTCCTAAACTAAAACCTCAAGATTCAGGTTTGATTGTAGTGTTGGCATTTAGCGATAAGAGGGTTTTGGGTTACAGTTTGGGCCCTTGTCTCTAAAAGGTTCACCATCACTGGTGTAGGAGGACACAGATATTTTCTCTAAAGGTTCAGATGGTTTCATTTCAGGCTTTAGAGGACATATGGTCTGTGGCACAGCTACTCTGCCACTTTGCTTGAAAGCAGTCATGGACTATATATAAATAGAGCAGCCAGGCATGGTGGTGCACTCATGTAATCCCAGTGCTTGGGAGACTGAGGCAAGAGGATCACCATTCTTGGATTACATAAAAAAAAAAAAAAAAAAAAAAAAAACCCTGTCTCAAAAATGAGTAAATAGGGCTGGGGATTTAGCTCAGTGGCATAAGAGTCTGCCTGAAAAGCTCAAGGTTGTGAGTTTGATCTACAGTACCACAAAAAATAATTAATTAATTAATTAATTAAAGCAATGGTCACAGCAGTAGGCATTTAGGGTCAGTTTGCTGGCCTCCAGTCTAGAGCATTGGTACTTGCTTCTGGCTGCACAATTAGAATCACCAGAAGGCCCTGCAAAGCCACAAATGCCTGGGCCCTATCCACTAGATTCTGGGAGGGGGCCAAAGTTTTTTCATTTTTTCCTGAGGTGGGTTCTTGCTGTGCTGCAGAAGTTGGCCCCAAACCCCTGGACTCAAGCAATCCTCCTGCCTCAACATCCCAAGTTGTGGGACCAAAAGTCCTCGCCACCACTCCAGAGCAAGGTTCTTTTGTTTTGTTTTGCAGCTACTAGATAAATCTGACGTGCACCCTGGTCTGAAAACAGCTTTTCTACAATTGCAGTATCTCAGGAGACTGCTAACATCTGGGGGTAGGGAGTTGGCTAGATGAATGCTGTAAGGATAAATGATCCAGGACTAAGTGAGGTCTACATTAAGGACAGAACCATTTTCAGTCCCCCTGAAGTTAAGTATTTCAAGTACTTTATTTAAGAGTTCTTTATTTGACACTCAGGTGTAAAGCACTGTAAGGAGTTGTCCCACTCAGGGCAAGCCAGCAATCAGCCCTTTCATGGCCCTTTGTGAAGGTGGCCATGGCAGGGAGGCCTTCAGTAAGACACCTGTTACCTACTCTGCCTTCTCTGACCATTCCCGATAGGCCCCAGCATAGTTTCGAGCCCTGTGGAGACAAAGAAGGATGAGGGGAGGCAGCTTCCGTGGGCAGTCCCCAGTCATCCCAGCCAGTCCTGCCTGTACCCTCTGTATCCAAGGCTTTGGGCCAGCTGTGTGGCCTGCAAGCCCCGCCGGCCCATTTGACAGAAGAAGACAAGGTTCTCATCGTCCAGCTTTGGCTTCTCGGCGGAGTATAAAGCCTGGAATGCAGCCGGCCCCATCTGCAGGGCATTTTCCAACTCGGATACTGGGAGAGAGGTCAGGAGATGAAAGGTGAAGAAAGCCAGCGGTGGCAGCCATGGCACTTGTCGGTTCAGGAGCTGGGCCTGCCAGAGTGGGTCCTAGTGGTGGAAAAATCTCCGGGGACCCCCAGAACAACAGATGGTGGCCATCTCCTCCCCCGCCCTAACCTCAAGGGCAAAAAACAGCCAACTCATGCAGGAAATCAGCCAAACAACCTTTAATGCGGGGGGCTTCCCTGGCCGCTAGAAGGCTGAGGCAGGCTCAGTCGTCCGGCCTCAACGAGGTCAAGTGCTTGCCTCTCCTTCCTCTTGTCCCGGCAAACCGGACAGGCCGGTTCCGCGGCAGGATCCGCCTTCAACCGGCCCATGTCGGGGAAGCTGAGCGCCAGCCAAGGGAATTGAAGGGAATGCAGACCTCCTGACCCCCATGGTCATCGTAAGTTAGGGACCTATTAGCCAAGACCTTTATTGATTGGCTCTGCCCCAACACCGGCGTCTCCTCCCGATCCCATACCCGGGATGTTGAGCGCCCCAGGGATGGTCCCCGCCGCCGCCTCCTCCCGAGATCGCACATCGAAGAGCCGGGCCCGGCCCGAAGCTAGGAGCGACCGCAGCTCCGGAAGAGAGACTGTGGGCCCTGAGCAGAGAGGGAGTGAGCCTTTAGGGGAAGGGCTGCAAAGCACCGTGGTCCAAGGCGCCCTTCACCTGACCCAGGCGGTGGCGAGGAGCCAGGGACCTCCCGGCCACGCCCCTCGCTCCTCCTGCAGCCCCGGACCTCCACGCTTTCGCACTCCCGGAGCCACAAGCGGGACAGAGTCCCGGTTCAGGTCCCCTAAGAGGTACCTGCAGCCATTGTGCGGGTAGCGATCGCGAGCCACAGGACCGTGGCAGCCCGCCGTCTGGGTGCCCGCAGCATCTTCTCCCCGCCAAGACCGGAACCGGAAGCAAAGGCTCCGCCTCCGCACCACTCCCGCAGCACCCGCTCCCGATGCCTCTCCGCAGCTCACCTGAGGGTGCTTGGGTTGCCCACCCCATGCCGGAAAGGACACCATGGTCTGTCACAGGTACCGGGCCTTAGGGTGGAGTTCAGGAGCAGCACCCCCCCTCAAATTAGTCCCCACCTTTACTGGTCAAAGGGTAATGTATGTCCCTCCCTTCTGCCTGGGGATCACATAAGGAGGAAAAACAGACAAAACAGTTGTAGCTCTGAACACTTTTATCTTTGAAGGGGAAAAAAAAAGGAAAAAGGCAAAGGAGGGAAGAAGGGAGAGACGGAAAGAAAGGAAAAAAAAAAATCAAGAACCACTCCCACAAGAGTAAAGCCCTGTGGGGACCCCTGCCTGTTCTCCCAGGCTTCAGAGACTTCTGCATAGCCTCAGCTGCTGGCAGGCACTCCTGGGGGGTGGGGGCGGCAGACACTGCTAAGTATCCGCCCCAATTCTTCATTAAGCCTGTTCCCCAGCAGCCAGGCGCACACCTGAACCTCAACTCCAGGAAAGGAAGAACCAGAGGAAGCGCCAGCGTTCTGGGCCAAGCTGGAGCATCCCCTGCCAGCAGACCCTCTTTCGGGCACTCTGCAAGCACAGGGCAAGCCCCTCAGTTTAGTGTGTCCCATATCCGGCATGGAGACAGCACATGCACTGTGCAACAGAAGCACAAGGGCCCAGGGGCTGCGTGGTGCGGGTGGGCAAGGCTGTCGGTGCACATCCACACTGCGTGCTTCACAGACTGCAGGCTGCCACACCGCAGAGCCTCTGTCAACTTCCCAACTTCCCCCAGTCCAGGCTGGAAGCGGGCAGTGAAGGAAAGGGGATGGGATCAGGCTGCTGCTCCTGGGCGATCTGCAGTCCTCAGGCCCAAAGCCCCTGTCTCCCCACAGTTAGTTGCTGTCGTTCTTGATGACAACCTCCAACCCATGGTGCCGCAACTGAGCTCGTAGCAGCAGGTTCTTGTTTTTAAGATCTTCCACCTGGCAGGGAAGGAAGCAGTAAGGGAAATGGGTAGAAAAGCTGGCACTGCCAAGCCCCTGAACTCATTCAGACATCTGCTAGTGAGGACGAAAATGTCAAGTGCCATCTACAGGAAACAGAGGAGGGACTCTCACACACTGGGTCGGGGGGCTCCAGGGGTCAAGGCACTGTCGCAGGGCTGGGGGCCTGACCTGCTGTCGAAGCACATCGTTGTCCAGCTGCAGCTGGTCTAGCCCCTGGAGTTCCTCAGACAGCCGGTGGTTACTCTGCCGAAGCTCCTGGATATAATCACAAGCTTTGGATAGAATTCCACCTTTACTCTGTAAGATAAAGACAACAAAATGAGGATGAGGATTTAAGATATCCTGCCTATTTCCCAAAAACACAACTACGTTTTGGACCTCATTCCTCCTCCCTGCTAAAAATAGTGGTATAACATCTTCCACGAATACCGGACCCTCAGAAAAGAATACGAAAGACAGCTGCCCTTTGTGCCCCGCTCTGTATGTTTGGGAACACCAGGAGACAGAATTCAGGCCTCCTGTCCACTACCAGGGCTCTTCCATGACCTGGCCAGACTTGGTGCTCTCCATTGAGCAGTCCGGGATGATCTTGGACAGCTGTACAATCCAGTTGTTGATCTTGTCTCGGCGGCGACGTTCCACTATGGGGAAAGCAGAGGACAAGTTAAATCTGAAAACTCAGGATCCTGATCAGGCCACCTCTCGCCTCCCCTTATACATCATCACAGCCCCCAATCTCACCACACAGCTCCTGGCTTCACCCCCATAGGACCTACCTTCATTGTGCTGAGCCCTGCGCTTCTCATCCCGAGTGGTCCTCGGAGTTTCTGACTTCCTGACAACAGAGCACAGGGTGGCCAAGGTAAGGAAAGGACAAAACTGATATCAGAGCCTAGGGTGAGGGATTATGCAGGATTTAGCAAGTATTAAGACCACTCATGGTAACTGAGAAGACACAAGGGTCACTCACGGGGAGTAAGGGTGGGTCCTGGGGGCAATCGAGCGCTGGCTCCCTCCCTGCAATACTTCTTGTGGTGACATCATCACAAAGAACTGACCTGTGAAGATGCGGGGTAGGCTCTGTCAGGACTTGGGCCCAGAAACCTCACAGCACCCTTGGACCCTCCTCTGACAAGACGGCACTTCTGCCTACTAGTAGGACAGCCTCAAACTGACTGACTGACTGACTGCCCGGCACTAGTGATCACTAAGGGTCATAAGTAAAGGCCCACAGCCCCCACATGTCCTTGCGCCTCCAGATGGCACACTCATGCCATAGCTCACCAGTGCCAGGAGGGGTGGACTGTCCCAGTAGTGCCTCCGAGCCCTGGGTAGTAACGACAGCAGCTGTACTCCCCGAAGTGGTACCCCCTGCCCCATCTCCCACCGCAGTGCTGGGGAAGTAGGTATAATGTGTCTCAGCAGCTGTTCCTTCTGTGTCTACCGCATCCTCACTGGTGAAAGCACCCTGGATCACCGCCTGGGAAGAGGAGTAAGAGAACAGAGTCCAGTGACAGTCAGGTATGTCTTCCTGCTGTACCTCTGCAGCTTCTATCCCTGGTGGGCAGGAAGGAGAAACAGCTAGACAGGGGAACCTAGTGCCTTGGGTCAAGGTAGCCCGAGATGTCTCACTGTATATAGTTTCACCCCATCCTGTTGTTTCCCTTTTTCCTCTTATTGCTCCAAGCTCTGACCCCCCTGGGTCACGTACCTGGGTCATAGACTGAGTGGCAGGGTAGCCACTGATGGCTCCACTGCCCTCAGTCTGGCCATCCAGCTGCCCTTCAGACACCTGGATCACCCTGTACATCACCTAGAAGCAGAGAAGGAAGAAGGGCAGGAAACGAAGATAGAAGACACACACATTCAGCCATTTTCCCTTCTTTCCCCATGCCATGGTTTCAGCCCACCCATATCAATTTCAATTCCAAGCCACCTACAGCTTCCACCCCCAAGAGTCCACACTGTCACTTCATCCTGCAAGCTAGGTCTCCCAAGACACATTCAGTTACCTCCCTCAACCCCAACCCCCAGTGACACCTGCAGCCACCTGGCTCCCTCCCTTACCTGGCCCCCATTCTCAGTTCGGAAGACGTACTTGACGTTGGGGTCAGGAAAGGTGGCAGCTGACTGGATGCTGGCAATAGCCACACTGGTTGGGTCCTCCCCAGTAGCCACTGCACCTGAGTTAAAAGAGCCAATGAAGCTGAGTGTGGTGGTCCCAATACTCAGGAAGCTGAGGCAGAAGGATTGCCATGAGTTTGAGGCCAGCTTGGACTACACAGTGAAACCCTTCTCAAAAAAAAAAAAAAAAAAAAAAAGTCTGTGCATTAACAGCCTCTCTCCCCCACCACTTATATATTACTTAGAAGGAAAGTGCATAGGAAGCAGACCACTTGGGGGGGGGTAAGAAAACCATGGTGGGTTCTTGGTCCTGTTTGGGGGGGGTTCTCTTTTCCCTTGTCTTTTTTTTTTTTTTTTTTTTTTGGTTGGTTCAGAAGAACCCAGGGCCTTCGCATAAGCTAGATACCCAGTCCTTTTTCACTTTGAAATAAGGTCTCATTATATCCTTAACTTATCCAGGCTGAGCTCAAACTTGTTCTCCTGCCTCAGCCTCCCATAGTGCTAGAATTACAGACCTGTGATACCGTACCTGGCTTTGGTCCTAGTCTCAACACTTACCTTCCTGAATCTGCACTGTCCCCTCTTCTGTTTCAGCTGTTTTCTGCTGCCTATTTATGGTGAAAGGAAAAAAGGAAGAATTAAGGGAGTACGTGAGAAACTCATTGGTCCTATAACATATGGCTCCCAAACTAATTGGTATGGGATGCTGGGTTAGGTTACAATAATAACTATTACCAAGAGTTTACTAAGTACGTAGGCACTAACTAAGCACATAAGCATGCACTATCTTATTTAATACCAACAACAGCACTGTAAGGTAGCAAACACTATTTCTGATTGTTCATAAAGAAACCAAATCACACAGCTGGTAAGTGATGGAACTGGGACCTAAACTGAGAGCTATGGAACAATCACTTCTAGCCACTTCGCATCCTGGCAGGCCTTCTCTTCTTCACTTACCCCTTCATCTCTCTGTGAGGGGCACATCCGAGGAACTGGTCCTTTTTTGGAAGTCTTTGTATCTCCTGACTCACAGGCTTCAGTGCTGTCCTGATAGAAACCACAGAGTTTGCAGTGAGTCCAAGAAACTAGCTTCCCTAGCTCCAGTGATGGTGAACCTTTAGAACTTTCAGTGATAACAGCCTGCTGCAGGATACATGCCATAGGTTTGCCAACACTGTTCTAGAACTTAGGCTCTAATGATGACAAAGCCAGGAAAATAACCCAATTTCTGCAGGGGACAATCGGCTTCACTCATTCTGATTACTTTGTTTTCTAGAGACACAGCCTCTCCTATGTAATTCAGGCTGGCCTGGAACTCTTCGTGATCCTCCTGTCTCAGCTTCTCCCATGCTCCAGGCAAACACCTCCACCACCAGCCCCACCCATTCTGATGTTAAGGATTGCCCTGTGGGGACTGATAACTACAGCTGTACAAATAGTGCTCTTCACCTCTCTTCGGTAACCACTCCAACTTCTCATGGAGAGGGGATACTTACACTAGAAGACTGAGAAACAACATATTTTTGGAAAGACTGATACTAGACTACTATTACCAAAAAATACAGGGCCCCAGCCAGGGCCTCCTGGTGAGTACAAGACCATCCTGAATTACAATGGTGAGACTCTGTATCAAAAACAAACAAAAACCCTTGGCTCATAAACACTAATGCTTCTTCCAGTTTTTTTCAGACACAAAACATACAGCAATGTCTTGCTCTTGGGCCCCATCTTAGTGACAGGAATCTTGTTTTGGGATTTCAGCTTTAGAGCATCTATTAGAGACCCTAAAGCCCAAGTGCATGGCATTTGGGCCTCCTCTATTTTATTCCAGTCGGCCAGTAGAAATGTAGAGCAACACAGCTGCTAAAATCTACAGAACTGGCAACACAGTTGCTAAAATGTTGCCATGACAACTCCAAGTCAATCGAACCTCTGCAAGAAAGGAAAAAACACCAGGCTCAGGATCCTGTCGAAGAAAAGACAATAGAGGAAGAATCCATCTACAAGGTGCCTGCCATAGGACCCTGACACCCAGCCAGAGGACAAGAAAAACAAAGGGCTGAGCTGACAGAGGCCTCCAGAATGATGCACTGTATAAAATGGATACAATGCACAATGTAAAACACACAGTTGCTACACTGTACAAAACTATAACATCCCGACAGGAAAGAGGCAAGACTTCTGTAAATTCTCTACCAGTAAGGTCCCTCAAATCTTTTTATCCAAGAAAAATTTTAGCGGTTAAGCCTTGGAAAGCCCGCGTCCAAGAAAAATAGTGACAACAATAACAAAAAGGAACTGAAAGTGAAACTATCTGCGGGAAGTAACGCCGCAAGGAGACTCCCGTCCCTGAGGGGAAGTACTGTAGCGCCAGGGTTAGGGGACCACCTTCATCTCCATCCTCAAAGTGTTCTTTGGGGCTGGCTGCGCCGACTGCAGGAGAAGGCAATGAAAGAGAGGTTGGGCACAGGAGGCATCACTGTCTCCCACAGCTGTCAGGCAGAGTCTGCCTCCTAGGACACCCCACAACCGGGTCAGGCTACTTATTCAAATCTTAGTTGGACATCCGGAAACATTTCCTGAGCATATGTGACACGGAAATCAGGCTAGGATGTTGTGGTTTGCATGTTCGCGCAAGGAGGGCCCACCTAGAGCCCTTGCTAAATCTGGACACAAAGAGGGGAAATCAAGTCCCGAAAGAATTTAGGGGCCCAGACCTTGCCTCAAAGTGCGGCGTCCCTCTGCAGGCCCGGCACGCAAGAGGAGCCCGGGAAGCTGAGCCCCGGCTGGCGCGAGCCCCGGAACCCGCGACCAGATCCGGCCCGGCCAGCGGCGCCCGCCGCAAGTCCCAATTGCTCCACCGAGGCGGCAGTGAAGGACGCTGGGGGCCGGGAGCCCCGCGGCCGGGCAGCGCGTAAGGGCGGGGATGTGCGCGTCCGGCCCACAAAGCGGGTGGGAGATAAAGAAAGGGGCACAGCCCCCTGCTCCAAAACAAAGGCTTCGTCCCTAAGAGTTGCCAAACCCCGAAAACAGAAGTAAAAACAAAGCCACCCTGCCGGTCCGCCCGCCCGGTCCTCCCGCCTCTAGAACCCTGCGGGGTCCCGCACTCACAGGACACAGCTACTCCGGCCGCTGATTTCCCCCGACAGCGTTCTCCCTCTCCCGACCTGGTTATCTCCATAGACAACTGCTCATGCGCACTCCCAGCTCGCGGCCATGTTTGTGAGGGGCGGAAGTGTCTCCGCCTCCCGCCCTGCCCACTCACAGCCTCCGAGCAGCCCTACTTCCGCTCGTTCCGCGTTGATGAGGGTTGAAGGATGCGTAGGTGTGCGGTGTTCGTGTGTCAGGCATGGGGCTCTGTGGTGCTGAAAAGAAGCTGTATTCTGGGAGGTGTCCATTTCTGGCAAGAACGAGAAGAAAAATGAGTAGTTTGGACTTCAATCTTTGTGTTAAGCAGGTCCTTTTTAATTACAAGAAAAGGGAGTGAGGGAAGCCAGTTGAAATCGAAGGAGGAACTGCCAGCGGTGGCGCCATCTTTAACAAGGACTACAGTGTTTGGGTGATCATTTTGGATCAGGGCATCATTTTGAAGGGTTTCCAGCTAAAAATGAGGATGTATCAGGGCATACTTTGATTTGAGCATATGCTTTTGTATTAGTGTCATCAGAGACCCAGAGCTTCCAAGGTTTCTGAGTCTTGCACTTTCTTTGAGATGAACCTTGATTGCCAATTTGTTAGTGATTGGTTGGTTTTTTGAGTCAGGGTCTTGTTATGCAGTTTAAGCTGGGCGGGCCTCAGCCTCCCGGTTTGGTGTGCATCAGCCTCTCATATGCTAGGATTATTGGCGTGCACAACCGCTCCCGGTTTTGATTCTGACTCAAAATGTACCCCTAATGGATTTGGAGTAGTATAGTATAATAGAAACAGTTCAGATGTTGGGATTGGATAAAGCCTAATCTCAAATCTTCCTCACACTTCTTATCTTTCAGATATTTGACATTCATTTTGACTTAGTTAAACCTTAGTTTCGTCATCTGTAAAATGTACAGAATTGTTACATGGATTAAATGAAGTAAAAGGCAAGGTTTTTGTCTACAGAGAAGACATAACAGTTCCTGGCACAAAAGGAGCATTATGTAAATGTAGGTTTCTCTTCCCCATTTCCTGACCACCATGAACCCAGCTCTAGTTTCTAGCCACAGGTCTCCATGACAACAACCAAGGAAGAACAACCCCCCCCCCGTGACATTTGGCCAAATATATAAAAATATGATCCTTATCACCCAAAACTTTAATGAGTCACCATGCTGTTCAAATGTAAAAATACACATTTTATTCTGAAACATTCATCCTCACTAGAGGGGGCCTGTGGCCCCACCAGTATGGAGAAGCAGTCCTAGGTCCTGAGTCATGCTATTCCCCTCCCCTAATACAGGAAAAAAGGAAGAGGCAGAGAAATCTCAGGCAGGACCTCTCTTCTGTAAGATGACTGGTGACAAAGGATGGGGTCCAGTGCTTTAAACAGACCCTGAGGATTCAGAGTCTTGGAAATGTTCCTCCTAATCTGGAGCTAAGTGGGACAGGAGGTATTGAAGGGTCTAAGAACAGAACAGGAATGGGAAATTTTAGAAGTTTCTGTGTGTGGACTCTGACCTAGTCTTGTGTTCCCTACCTCTACCTTGGGCTTCCGCAAAGAGAAGTTCACAGCCTCAGAGAGGCCTCAGAGAAGGAGCTTGATTGGAATTCCCCCTCTATTCTTCACTTTGAAAAGTCTATTAAATTTTCTGCCTGCTTTGTGTTCCCTTTGGTCAGTGAGCGCTGTTCATAGGAACAGTATCTTGCTGACTTTCTTGGGAATCTCTTAAGGAATGCCTTGTGTCTGAGCCAAGCTCAAGTAAGCCCACCAAGATGGTGCCTCATACAGTCAAAAGAGTAGCTGGAAGGCCAAAACCTGTAGGCTGAGGCACTGCAGCTGCTCAGGAAGAAGAGTTAGTCAGTCAGGGACCCCAGGGACTCCAGATGACTTGTTGATCTGCTCTGCCTGGTGCATTTCCTAATCACAGTCCTCCTTTCCCAGGGTTCACCTGTGTTTCAAACGCATATGACCTGCGCTGGGGGGACAAAAGAGGAACAGGTGGTTGAGGTTCTCCAGAGGGTAGACTAAACCGACTCCGGGGTCCAGACTCTTCTGTGCCTTCAGGTGGGAGTTCCAGGCAGCTAAGGGGTCGAGAAGAATAGGCAGGGATGGTGCCACACGGGGAGGCTCTGTTGATGAGGCTGTAGTCCCCTCCCCCAGTACAGGTCTGGGTCCGGCGAACTACCTGAGCCTCAGTCCTCTGGCGTTCCCGGGCCAAGGCCACAGCAGCATCAAAGGAAAGACTGCCCCCATTCCTCCAGGAAGCCCGGGAAGCTCGGGACACCCATGCCCTTTCCCCAGGAATCACGTCAAGCCGGCCAGGCCTTGGACATGGGTTTGCAGGTGCCACGTGGATCTTGCTACACATTGCACTGGGCACCTTGGCAAACTGTGGTTTGGGGGGCACTACAGGCACAGAGCGGACCTGTTGGACATGAACCAGGCTAGAAGCCAGGCGCATGCCCACACCACCAGCTGATCCAAAGGGACAGGGGCACAGATCACAGCCCACAGGACTCAACTGTTCTGTCTCCTCTCGCTGGGGTGGCTGTGGGGTTGCCTGTTCTCTCTCAGAAAACTGGGCATTGCCCTCATTGGTACTGTCATTTTCTAGGGACTCTTCATCTGGCCCTTCAAAGAGAACCCCTTCTTCCAGATGGTCATCCCCAACCTCTTGGTCTCCCTCAGTGGGTTCATCTCCACTCTCCCATTCTTTGCCAACCTCTCCTTCTTTTCCTTCAGCTGCTGCTTCTGAGCTGCTGCTGTCTTCACCATGTCCTTGGTCTTGTCTTAGTTTATGGTCCTCATCCCCCTTCTGCTCTCTGACCTCAGACTGTCCTCCCTCAGCCCCATGTTTGTATACAACATCCCACTTCTCCTTAACAGCCAAGTGTTTGTGGGTCCCATGCTCTGGGTCCCTTACAACTTCTCTGTGGGCTTCCTCTTCTCCTTGCTTAGCCTCTTCTTTTTCAAATTGGTTTTCCTTCTCCATGTCTTTAAGCCGTTCTTTTCTTGGTTCCTCCACACTCTTAGCTTCCTCTACATTTTCAACCTCCTTCTGTCCTTGAGATTTCTCTCCCTGGGTCTCCCTCTCTTCCCCATCCTCTTCTAAGCTGACCATCATCTCTTGGCTTCCCTCAGAATTCCCTCTTTCCTCACCACCCTTTCCATCCCCCACCTCAGTCTCTGGACTGCCCTCAGCCTCTTCTATGATGTTCAGTGTGCTTCTAGGTTCTATCTCTTTGTCCTTCCCAACTTCCCAGCATGCCCGCTCTTCTTCAGCCTGCCCTGGAGTTTGTCTTTCAAACGGTACTGCCTCTTCCTCCATACTCCCTACACACTCCCAGGGCAGGGATTTAGGCCCCAGAATGGGACTCAGGTCATCATAGGCACTCAGGAAGACTTCCTCCCCATTCTCCTCCACTTCAGGCCGGTGGCCAGCAGAGTCCAGGGAACAGCAGCTGGGAGCCAGAACATACTGCGCCTCATCCAGAGACAGGTCATCCAGGGGTGGCTCTACCGAGAACTCCTCCACCTGTAGGCACAGCATCGTGGCTCAGGACCAGGTAGCCCTGTCCATCCTCTGAACTCCATACCACCCTCAAACCCAGCACAGCTCCTCCTTACCTGAGGCCCAACTCCCAGGAGCTCCTCCAGGTAGCCCATCCCAGGGTCGTCCTCCCCAGGGGAGAAGGCTGCTCCTGTTGCTCCTGCCTTGGCCACCTCCCCGTCCTCCGCCCCCACCCACTCAGGCTCTGAGCTGCTTGAGTCCTCTAGGAAGGAGAAGGAATCCTGCACCTCCTGGGACAGGCAGTCCTCCAGAGCAGGAATCATGTCTTCTGGGCCCGAGTCAACCAGGGGACCTGAGGCAGGCCTTGCCTCCGGCTTCTCATCTGTTGGGAGAGAAGTAGTCCCAGTAACACAAAATCAAGGCCAGCTGCGACCCTTTCCAATGTGACTCTTCCTAGCATAGTATGGCAGGGACCCAACACAGCTAGTCTGTGTTTAAGATCCCATCAGAGCAGTTTCCCTAAGTAACGGCTTACGGCTACCATTGGAGAGTCCCTATTAGGTGCCAAACACTATTTGACATTTTACAACTCATTGCCTTCTTTTCTCTGCAAAGCAAACTCTTATTACATAGGGTATTATGTGAGACTCAGAGAGGCTGAGCAACTTATCCAAAGTTATACCACCAAAATCTGAAACCACCAGGGATAATCTCAGTGGCACAGTGCTGCCCAGCAGGCATGAGGTTCTCAGTTCAATTCCCAGAACCAAAAAATCTGAGCCCAAAAATACTTAACTCTACACCTAACTGTGCATCCCATGTCCCAACCCTCTATCCCATGCTGCCTCAGGACTTCTCATTGATGCCACTTTAAGAAGTGGAGGCAGAGCAAGGATCGAATCCCAGCTCTGCCTCTTCCTATCTGAATCAATTGCAAATTGTTTAACCTAAGTGTCAGGATTACTGCAGTAAGACAAGGGTAACAGTAATACTTCCATCATAAGATTTTGAGAAAAATGAAAAGACCTAATGGCTACAAACTGCCTAATACAGCCCTTGGTTCCTAATAAGCCCTTGGTAGAAGTTAGCTGTTAATGCTACTATGATTATTACCCTACCTACCATACATCCCTACCATGTGTTTAGCAGTCCCTGCTGTATGTGTGCCACAGACCCTAACCTTGGTTACATCAGTCATCTGAAGGTTCCCAGAGAGCCCCTCTCTGTATTTCACACCACCTAATCACATTTCTGGACACCCCAGTCCTGCAAGGCAGCTAATGATAACTACCCCCAAAGCCTGTGGGCTGAGGCTTTTACCCATCTCAGAGTGCATCTCAACATAAGAATTCAGTCTAAACTCTGGTCCTCTTTCCAGTCCTCAGCAATCCCTGGGTCCTCACCTGGGGGTCCAGGGCCAAGGCCAGGGCCAGGGCCAGGGCCAGAGGCAGGGCTTGGCCGGGGCTGTAGGGCAGGACACTCAAGGCCACGGGTGAGCCTGGTCAAGTTGACATTGGAGATGATGTTGGGAGGCACACTGAGGATCGAGGTGATGTGCAGTGGGAGGTTGACGTTGTAGGGGTCTGAGATGTGGACACCAGCACAGCGCTCGGCACGGCTGCTGCCTCCAGCCCGGGTGGCTGACCGCCCAACTCTTGGTGTGCCTGGCTCTGAGTTCGTGCCACCTGGTGCCTCTGCATCAGGCTCCTGTTCACCCTCTACTGCCTCCACAGAATTGTTCTCCAAACTCTCAGCAAGCAGTGGTACTGGCCCAAGACTGCTGGGACCGTCCAGCCCTTCTGGCTCTGTGGAGGAAATAGAGGGACAGGGAGGCAATTGTCTCAGCTTCCAAGGGCCTAGACACCTCTGGAAGTTTCTGTAGAATGCTCTCTACTTCTTTGGGCCACAGAGGCAGGACAGCTTAGAAAGTACCAGGCTCAACTTCCCTTCGCCATTACTGTATATCCTCTACCCAGACAGCACACCAAAGGTCACCTCATCTTCATCTACATACATCTAGGAAACCCCTTCCTTCCCTGAAAATATACTCACCGGCATAACACTCTCTCTCACTCTCTCTCTCTCTCTCTCTCTCTCTCTCTCTCTCTCTCTCACACACACACACACACACACACACACACGCACGCACGTGCACGCACGTGCACACACACTACATGGTCCCTTCCTGTACAAACATCGCCCATGGATTAGATGATAAACTCACTCATGTAAAGCTGGCATCTATAATAAGCACTCGTTAAATATTTTTGGCCACATTCACACACACAGCGCGCGCACACACACACACACACACACACACAGAGGCCCACACTGTTGCTCACTCAGCACATATACACCTAGGAGCACATTTGTATACTGACCATCACAGGCCCCCGTGGCAGCGCTCAGTGAGTCCATGCTCTTGGCTGGCCGCAG